GAGCGATGGATTAAGAGAGAGAAAGGAAAACTGCCACATGGAGTGTGGTGGCCACTGAAACTGATATAACCTGGACTAAGGACACAATTTATGACCATTTGGTTTCATGATCCTATAAACCAGTTAACTATAATTTAATATAAATTATGCTAATTTTAAGTGTTCCAGCCTCAAAAATTGAGCTGACTTTACATTTCAATTTAATGTTATTTAAAAATTAGTTGAAGTCAAGCAGATTTTACACAATTTCAGATGCTTTTTGGCAAAAGAGATAAAGAAAATTACAGCCTTCAGAGCTTGAATGCTTACACAGAAAATCCTGGGAATGCTATTAAAATGCCTAGGAAAAAGTAAAGTTAATGATAACAGAGTTAAAAAAAACACATAATTTAAATTCTGTATAGCAGCAGCAGAATACTGCGCATAATTTTTTGAAAATGATATTACACTAGCAATAAAGATGTGACAGACTTAGAGATGAACTGAACCAAAAGATAATGTTCCTGCAGTAGAAACTGTAAAACGCTGATACAAGAAACTAGTGAAACCCCAAATATTTATAGAGATAAAATATATTTTGTTTATGAAAACATTGATGGTGTTGTGATACCAATTATCTTCAACATATTAGCACTAGGGATTATTTTGAAAAACTATATACTAACAACTTGGAAAATTCAGAAGAAATTACCAAACATCCGGACACAAATGACCTACCAAACCTGAATGAAAAGGACATAAAAAAAAAAGCCCTAAATAGACCAATAACAAGTAATGGGGTTGAATCAGTACTAAATCATCTCTCAACAAAGAAAAGCCTGTGAATAGATGAATTTGCTACCAAATTCAGCAAACTTTCAAACAATAACTGACAGGAATGTTTCTCAAACTACTCATGGAATTAAAAGCAGGAGAACCCCTTGAAGCTTTCAACAAGATCAGCATTACCTTGTTACCAAATCTGGCAAGGACACAACCAAAGAGAAAATTATAGACCAATATTCCTGATGAACAGAGACGTTAAACTCCTTAAAAATATGCGAGCAAACTGACATTACCAGCGCATCAGAAAGATCACACCCCATGACCGAGTTGGTTTCACACCAAGGATGCAAGGATGGTTCAACAAACATAAGCCAATAAACATAATACATCACATAAACACAAAAAGCACAAAAATCCTATCAGCATCTCAATACATGATATAATATTTGAAAAAATCCAACATCCCTTCCAGGTAAAAGTCTGAACAAATTAGGTATGGAAGGGTCATGTTGTAACACAATCAAGGCTGCATATGGCAAACCCATAGCCAATGTCATTGAAAATGGGGAAAAGCTCAAAGTTCTTCTTCTAGTCGCAGGGCCAACACAAAGGTGCCCACTGTTGTTGCTTTTATTCACCATAGCGCTAGAAATGTTATCCAGGGCAATTAGTTAAGATAAGGAAATACAAGGCCATATATAAATTATCCCTGTTTGCAGATGATTACATTCCATATATTGAAAAACTTAAGACTCCACCAAAAACTGATGGAACTGATAAACAAATTCAGCAATGTAGCAGTATAGAAAAATCAACAAAGAAAATTAGTAGCTTTTTCACACATTAATCATAAACTTGATGAGGAACCATGAAAGCAATCCCACCCACCCCCACCCCCACACTCACCCACCCTCGGGAATAAATGCAAAGAAATGGAAGAACTCCGTGATGAAAATTATAAAACACTAAAGAAAAAAATTGAAGAAAAGAAGTGGAAAGACCTCCTATCCTCCTGTATTCATGGATTGGTAAAATTAATATTGTTAAAATTTCCATATTATCCAAAGCTATCCACAAATCAGTGCCGTCCCACTCAAAATCCCAAGGATATTCTTCACAGAAAAAAATCTACTCTAAAACTCATATGAAAGCACAAAATACCACAACCAAAGTAATCTTAAGAAAAGAGAATGAAGTTAGAGATATCACCTTTTGTTAAAGCACGCTACGGTCATGGTAAACAAGAGTATCGGCATAAAATCAGATATGTAGACAAACAGAACAGAACAGAAATTTCAGAACTAAATTTATGCTTTTACAGCCATTTGATTTTTAACAAAGTTGTCAAAAGCATATGTCGGAGAGAGGACAAGATTTTCAACAAAGGCTGTCGGGAAAACCACGTCAACACGTGCAAATCCAAACCTGACCTCTGTCTCTCACACCCCGTGAAAAAACCAATCGGTTCAAAGTGGATCAAAGACCTAAATATAAGACTGGAAATTCTGAAGAAAACACAGTGGAATTGCTTTAAGCCATTGGTACTGGCAATGATTTTCACAAAACTGCATCTGAATTCTATAAAATCACTGTCACATGATAAAACGGTCATAACCTGCCACCCTGGTGTGGTTGCTGATATCAGCAGTTCCCGGTTTGGGTTCTGATGGAGATCATTTCAACAGACTAGATTCTGCCACCTCTTAGGATGTGGAGAAGGAGCAGAGAATAAGAAAGTTGCTTTGTGGAGAGTTGGGAAAGAAAGGCCCGGAGAGTGTCCTCTTGGATCTCTGGTGGAAATCCTCAACCGGGAGGATCGTAAGGCCAGAGTGCAGACGGAAGTGGGCGGGCAGGAGAAGCTAAAACAGCGACAGAGGCCCTCAGAACTCAAATCACACAAAGTACTGAGGTCCCTGACCGGTCTGGGCCCAGGGTGGAAGACCTCTCATTCCCAAGTCCTAACCTAGGGCTCCGAAAGAGCATTTCCTCCGGCTTTAGACTTGGCACTGTAGGAGAATCAGAAGGAGGTGATGGGCAGGTAGATTGGGGAGATAGTTGATAGAGAGACACATAGAGACCATTATGTACAATTGCCCTTTTATAAAATTCCCATTTGTTTTTAAGGTCCTCTTTATATCTTGGAGAAAAGAAGCAAAAATATTTGTGCTTCCTTGGTTTTTCTTGCTCCAAGTTTCTGAACATATATTTTCCCAGTGAGACTTGGGATTATGACATCAAGGAGGTAACGTGAGGATGAAGTCATTTAATAATGTGGACCCAAGCGTTTCACAATGTGAGTTTTAGCAGAAGACGGGTGACATCCTCAGCAGCATGCACTCCTGGAGGGCTCCAGGGAAATGGTGCCACCAGAAGGGGCTTCTCACAGGTTCCTGACCTCTTAAAGTTAGGGGTCTGCACTGACCTGTGCTCGTCCAGAGTTCCTAAGAGTTTCAAGGCAGGACTCGGATTCCTTACACTGATTTCTCACAGAGTGTTTATAGGGCTTACCATTTCCCAATTGAACTCAGACTGGTACAGTTGCTTTTCACCATTTAATGCCATCCAGGAGATGTCATTCAGGTGTTAGCAGAAATCCCCTCAAACACACAGGAAGCTAGAGTTTGGGAGAACAGGAAACCATGAGTCCTGTTCAAATGGAAACTTCTCATCTTTACGCAAAAGGAGAACTGAAAGTCTTTTCTAAATTCTCCCAAGTTTAGCAATCTCATGAGCAGAACCAATCAGTGCTCTGGGACTAAACAATATCATAAGTTGCTGGGAAACTCCTCGGGTTGGAGGTGCTATTACAACAGGTAAAATGTCTTTGAATTTGCCATGTACTGATACATACCTTTAATAACACGGCATTATGGCAACCAGTAAAGGGGGGATAGAAAAATTGGACTGCTTTATTTTTGTTCTGAAAGAGGAAATCATATGCAAAAATCACGCAGGACACTGTAAACTCTCACTTGGCCCATTCCCTTGCTTTCAGGAAATTTATAACTGAATAATCTTAGGGAAGAACTGTACTTTGGGTCTCCTTTTAGTGATCTAGGACTTAACATTGGAGGATGTTGAAAGCCCTTGGATGTGAACACATAAACAACAATGTATAGCATGCTTGCTCTCAAAGTTTGTAAGGAAAGCTTTCTGAAAGAGTAAGACCTCGACACCAGTGTGGAAATCTAGCCCAAGCAGAAGGGCCATGACCAACTCACGGTCTGATGGGTCACCTCACTACCAGGCTGCTCCATCTCAGAAGTACTGGAATTTCAGTCCTTTCTTTGTGCAGCTTAATGTTTTCCTTCTATTCAGAAACAGAATGCCGTGCCTCCTAACTTCCAGAATTCCGGAAAAGTCAAAACGTGTCCTTTGGATTATACATTTAACAGCTACATTACAGGAGAAGAGGGGTTATAAACTTCCGCCCCGGGTGAAGGAAAGGTACAGCCTCCCGCAGGCTCTAAATTTAGCGACCCGTAAGTAAGCTCTGCACAGTTTACTCGGTGATTTGAGGGCCCAAGGGAGGTCGGTTCCGCAGGTCAGATCCTCACGCTAGAGACCCTCCAGTCCGTAGCAGAGTCAGGGTCAGAGCACCCCTCTTCCTTCACCGCCCACTGCTCTAGAAATGTCTGCCCATGTTCCAAGGAGTAGCTCTCCCCGCTCTCCAACTTTGGGAGTGTTGGGGCTCAGAGTTTTTCCATCCACTTTTCTCTAAACAGAGCACAGTGTTTTGAATCCTAAGGGCACAGATTGCTGGTCGGAGACTGCGTGGGATGAAGCGGTAAACAGCCCCTTAAGGCCGAAATTCACGTCTCCCCCGTGATTTGACAAATAAGTTTCACTTGAGCTGATTCATCATCCTTAAAAATAATTCCTCCTCTGTCACAGCCCAAACTCAGGGTTTGTATTTAACTCTCACTTTAGGATGTCCCCGTGGATTCTATCTGTTCTCACCAGTATGCTTCAGGTAGATCCCGTCCTAGAACTGGGGTAGAGATGAGAGACTGAGAGGTTGATTAATATCTAAAAAGCCCGGCCTTTTTGTTCTGTTTGTTTAAGGATTATACTTCTTCATCTAATGAAGTCACAGTTCATTAGACCCACTCCTGTCCTGAACCTTTTGCAAGAACTCTCTCCCTGGCAACAGATGTGTCATCGCAAATGTTTTTTTCTGATTGGCTAACTCTCAACTGATTTGCATTTTAACCTTCTTTTCTTTTATTCTCTCCTGTTCTGACTTGATTGTGAGCTCTACTGACTCCCATTAGAACATCCAAGAGGAGAATGGCTGTAAATGGAGTCCTGGTGTTAGAAGTTTTCTTCATAGCTCTCCTGACGTGGCCTCAGAAATCATGGGCTATCAAAGGTAGGTGCTGAGAGAATCAAGACTAGGGACAATGCCCAGTTAGCCTTCGGGGAAATGAAGTGTGGGGATTTGTAGGTCACCTCTGGCGTGAGAGTGTGGCAGGCGTTACATGGTCTAAATCTGAAGGTTTAAAAACTGCTGCTGGCTGGATGTGGTGGCATACACCTGTGATCCCAGGAGGTGGAGGGAGGATCAGGTAAGTCCTAGGCCAGCCTCGGCTGCAGAGTGAGTTCAAGTCTAGCCTGGATTACAGAGCAAGGCCCTGTCTCAGAAAAAAAAGGCAAGAAATTGGATAAATGGCGGTTTGATGGTGTCCTTTCCTCACCACAAATTGAAATGAGTCCAGTTTATTTTAGAGCAGCAAGACTGAGCTGGTACTTGATTGGGACCATTGATCTGATATAAGCCAAGCTTGCCAGATGGGAACATATCCCAACAGACAGTAGCAAGTGTAACTTTTACTGTGCTTATAAAGTTTTTAAACTGTAATAATTTTGTTAGGATTAAATGAGAAAAAGCATGAGACTTTCTTAGCTTAATTTGATAGTTTTTGGCATTAAATTCTGTCAACATACTTTCACCACAGACATTGTATGGAGGGTCCCTAGGAAGAAAAAGGACTAAAAATCAACAATCTGCACACAGGAGGGGAGGAGACAGGCATGCTGATATTAACTTCACCTAATTTACTGTGTTGGGACAGTGATAGCTATCTCGTTCCCCACTCCATGTGACAGTGGCTTTCACGTGAAATTTGTTCGTTAGTTGAGTTTATTTGTACAATTTAGATATACGTAGTGGTCACATTCTTCATATGGAATTTGTTCCTGTACAAGGTATATCTTAATTCTTATTTTTCCCTTTTCCTTCCTCTCCCTCCAACTCCTTTCCGCCTCCTAATAAGAGAGCAGAAAAATGAATAAGTAGAGAGCCTGATACTATTCTCTGCCATCCGTGGAGCACACGTCTGTGCTGTTGTAACTATGTACTATGAGAAAATATCTTCACCCTGAGGGACTCTGTGCGTGTCTGCAGCTAGGATGGAAACAAAGAGATAACTCAGCTTACAGATCCATGAGGCCATTGCAGGCCCGCAGGTAGCCTGATGTGGCCATGCTTACCTAAAAAGGGTAAAGGTTCTTCCCTTGCAATGGGAATTAACAGGGAATCTATGTTTGCACATAAATCCAAAATGTTAAATGAATTTCTGGGTTTATCAATATGTAGTCAAATATCAGAGTCCCTCACTTTTTCTCCGAAGATTAAGCACAGAAATCTTCCCCCTCTCATTCACACACACCATGGAGGCCGCACACCCTCCAGTTGTAGATTTTCTTTTGCAAGTTGATTATTCTCTTGATATTGGTTATACTCAGTAGTAATCAGAATATGTCTCATGATGACAGTCTTAATATAGGAAGTGTTAAAAGAAAGGTCAGGTTACCAAGGTCCATCGATCCAGACTGACCTTCCTCACAGAAGTATCAACAGTGTGGGTTTGGACTGCAGGAAGTGGGTGTTCTAGACCATGGTAAGGTCTCAGCCTTAACTCCCTGGGTGCCTCGAGCCCCAGTTATATTTGTCTGATCCTTAAATATGAATCAGTTTCTGACCCTAATCTGTGAACAGTACTTGCTGGAAGCCTTACGCTAAGAACTTACTTTGCATTTCATTAAATTTTAAAACCAAGCCCATGGCAGAATCAAAACTCAGCAGAAGTATAATTAGAAAATAAAACACAAGTAGGTAGAATAATTTGCTCAAGATCACTAAGTAAGTAAGTAAGAATTGAAAGTTTTTTTTTTTCTGGTCTTGTTTTGCAGTGCTGGGGATGAACTCATGCTAAGCAAGTGCTCTACCACTGATCTAAATTCCTGGCCCAAGTGTTCAAATTTTATTCGATTCCAGAGTTCAAACAATGAACTTCAGACTGTTCAAGGCCCGATCCTCTTGTCAGCACCACTTTGAGAGAAAGATGCTCTGGAGTTCCTCCCTAACTGTATTTAATGCCTGGGTAAAGCAGAGTGAGAGAATATCTTTCCCTTAGGGGCTGTTGCTGAGTTTCTAAACAGAAAAGCATTTCTCAGCTGGTAACATGGAGCCCATTCACAGTGTCATGAGACTGAACTTTTCTTGTCATCTCCTTCAGCCCACCCTCTTAATGATGCTGACTTCCTCATTTCTTCCCTATCAGCTTGGTTCAGGGCAAAGTCCATCAGCCAGACCCCTCTTTTCTCTCATCCCTCCTCGCCACTCTGCTCTGTTCCGTTTGGTTTCTCCTCTCTCCTTCACATCCGGTCCACATCCATGTAGAATCTCCTTCGTTGCCTCTCCTGATTCTTCTCTAACTCCCTTTTCTGTGTTTCAGAGGAACACAAGATCATCCAGGCAGAATTCTACTTGTCCCCTGATGAAGCAGGAGAATTTATGTTTGACTTCGATGGTGATGAGATTTTCCATGTGGACATAAAAAAGGAGCAGACGGTCTGGCGCCTGGAAGAGTTTGGACAGTATGCCAGCTTTGAGGCGCAGGGTGCATTGGCCAATATGGCCGTGGACAAAGCCAATCTGGGGGCCATGATGAAGCGCTCCAACAACACTCCGGGCAGCAACGGTACCTCTCTCTGTGTAACCCGAGATGCTGAAATCCAGAGCTTTAAAATACATGCTCTGGCACATTGCCTCATATTATCACAGTCTTCCCTCCCAGAGGCCTGACCCTAACATAAGAAAACCCCAAATTCTCATGCCACAGCCTGAGAACTTTGTGACTTTGCACTTTTCTTGATGCGCTCAAATCTTGCGTCTCTCATCCATGATCACTCACAAAATTACCGCCCTGAGCCCATGATGGGGAGCCAGGAATGAGGTCTCTGGATATCTCATTGCTCAGTATTGGCTCTAGTATGTACCTAGTGCAATATACCTGAGATTGTGGCACAGTTTAGTAGCTTTGTTTTGTTTTGCTTTTTTGCTTTAGAATCATTAGATGGTTCCATACCCAATTCAGTGCAGGAGGGAGAGGGGCAAGCTGAAGGAATGAAGGCTAATTTCTTTCCTGTGTCTCCTAGTGGCTCCTGAAGTAACCGTGCTCTCCCACGGCCCCGTGGAACAGGGAGAACCCAATGTCCTCATCTGTTTTGTGGACAAGTTCTCCCCTCCGGTGCTCAGTGCCACATGGCTCAAAAATGGAAAGCCAGTCACCAAGGGCGTGTCAGAGACCGTCTTCCTACCCAGGGAGGACAACCTGTTCCGCAAGTTCTACTATCTCCCCTTCCTGCCCTCTATTGAAGATGTCTATGACTGTCAAGTGGACCACTTGGGTTTGGATAAACCTCTTCTCAAGCACTGGGGTATGGAGAATCCTTTGGTCCTCTTCGTTGTAAAGTTTCCTCCTCTGGTGCTTCTGTCTGGCCCTTCAAACTCAGAAGTGGCCATAGCATGTGCCTCAGTTCACACAGCTGTGTTCTCCGGTTGCCCAGCTCCCTTCACTTTTCAATCTGTACCCCCTCAGTGCACCGTTCTGTCCTCCTCTGTTTAATTTAGTGGTCACTATTTGCTTGACTATATTTGATCCTAAGTGCTATTCCTCACTACATTCGTCACCATCTACCCGTTTTATCTGTCCTCAGAGTTTGAAGAGCGATCCCCTGTCCCAGAGACCACAGAGAATGTGGTGTGTGCCCTGGGCCTGATTGTGGGCCTGGTGGGCATCCTTGTCGGGACCATCTTGATCATCAAGGGCATGCACAAAAACAGTGCCACGGGACGCCAAGGGCCTCTCTGAGTCACGTGAAGGTGGGTTGGGCATGGTCAGAGAAAGATACATGTAGTTAACTGAGGGAGGGAAGCGGACAGAGGAAAAAAAAAACATCTGATGCCTTTAAGAGAGAAGGGTAGGAAAAGTTGTGCCTCTTAGATTTCTCTTTGCTGGAACAAATCAGGCACTGGCATCACCTGGTACCCCAGAGCTTCAGGACCTGTCATCCCTCTGCACACACACACACGAAGATGGCACCTTAGTAAGCCTTCGACATGATCTCCAGCACCTAAGACCACTGTTTCTCATGGAAATACTGCATCTCACCGACAGGGATGCAGGCCTCAAGGTTTACAAATGCTCCTGAGGCGTCCTATCAATTCAGGAGCATTTGGGGTCCACTGGGGTTGTGATAAATCCATTGCATGAGACAGAAATCTCGTAGGGACCAGTCCTCCTTTTTAATCATCTGCTCTGGAAAGTGCTTTCAAAACACCTAAAAATAAAGGAAGAATGGCTGTTTTTCATGGTCACTTGCAAAGTAGGTGTAGGTTTATAGCTCATGTTGGAAATGTTGCCTTTAAGAGTGGGAAGATAAATATTAAAAGTCTTTTGCAAAGCAAAATCATTAAAATAGGAAGATATCTGAAGGAAAGAATGTAAAAAATTCATCTTAAACTCCTTAGTAACTATGCGTGTGTTCCACGACAGGTGATGGCCTTTCTTAAAGAGAAGATCAATGAAGAAACTTCTGCCAGGATCACATAACTCAGCATTTTGCAGCCCTACACGGCATGTGTGATGACGTCTTCCCCGATCTGTCCATGTCTAACATCCAGCTGATCCTCCTGTCCGCTTCCCTTTCCTGTGTTTGTTTATCCCTACTTCCTATTATTTCATTATCACTGGACAGTTCCTTTGGAATACATCCCAAAGGAGTCTCTCTGTTAGGTAACTTTCTAACTACTGCCCGGGAATACCTTCTATGTACTTGCCGCTTGGGGTTTCTCCAAATTGTCAATTTTCGAATACAATAAAGTGTTTCTATGGATGTGGTAGAGTTTCCAGCGTCTGAGCTAGTTCTTCTGAGGTGAGGGTGACTGGGAAATAGAAGTCATATTTTTGTCCTGAAGGAGCTGGATGTTGAACTGTATTTTAAACTGTGGAATTAATCAGAAGCCCTGGCTCATTAGAACTTATCTTCATTTCAAGCTTCTGCTGACAGTTCTGTTGCTGGAAATCCTCATCTGAGTAATTCTAGAGCAGGATCGGGTTTGGTTTGGTTTCTGAGAGAGCTCTGCTGAGCAACAGGTTCCAGATCTGTTTTGGTTCTTGAGCCTTTAGGTCAGTGACGTGCCTGTATCTTCAGTAGAGTGAACCTCACATCCTGGAGTTCGGCCTCTGAAAATGAATGAGACAGATGGACGGGAACTGACGGGGGTACGGTGGGGAGCAGAAGGAACAATCTCTCAGGATTTCCACACATATGAAAGTCACTCATACCAGACTTAACCAGGAGTGGGACTGGGCACTGAAGATCGGCACTAACCGGGCAGCCCACAGGCACTGCCTTGCACTTTTGTTCCATTGCTAGAACAGTCTGACTTATTCTTTGACCTGTATGATGTTTGGAGATGGGGGTACGGTGGGGAGCAGAAGGAACAATCTCTCAGGATTTCCACACATATGAAAGTCACTCATACCAGACTTAACCAGGAGTGGGACTGGGCACTGAAGATCGGCACTAACCGGGCAGCCCACAGGCACTGCCTTGCACTTTTGTTCCATTGCTAGAACAGTCTGACTTATTCTTTGACCTGTATGATGTTTGGAGATGTGCCTTGAGATGTGAAAAATCTTCCCCGATCTGTCCATGTCTAACATCCAGCTGATCCTCCTGTCCGCTTCCCTTTCCTGTGTTTGTTTATCCCTACTTCCTATTATTTCATTATCACTGGACAGTTCCTTTGGAATACATCCCAAAGGAGTCTCTCTGTTAGGTAACTTTCTAACTACTGCCCGGGAATACCTTCTATGTACTTGCCGCTTGGGGTTTCTCCAAATTGTCAATTTTCGAATACAATAAAGTGTTTCTATGGATGTGGTAGAGTTTCCAGCGTCTGAGCTAGTTCTTCTGAGGTGAGGGTGACTGGGAAATAGAAGTCATATTTTTGTCCTGAAGGAGCTGGATGTTGAACTGTATTTTAAACTGTGGAATTAATCAGAAGCCCTGGCTCATTAGAACTTATCTTCATTTCAAGCTTCTGCTGACAGTTCTGTTGCTGGAAATCCTCATCTGAGTAATTCTAGAGCAGGATCGGGTTTGGTTTGGTTTCTGAGAGAGCTCTGCTGAGCAACAGGTTCCAGATCTGTTTTGGTTCTTGAGCCTTTAGGTCAGTGACGTGCCTGTATCTTCAGTAGAGTGAACCTCAAATCCTGGAGTTCGGCCTCTGGAAATGAATGAGACAGATGGACGGGAACTGACGGGGGTACGGTGGGGAGCAGAAGGAACAATCTCTCAGGATTTCCACAAGTATGAAAGTCACTCATACCAGGCTTAACCAGGAATGGGACTGGGCACTGAAGATCGGCACTAACCGGGCAGCCCACAGGCACTGCCTTCCACTTTTGTTCCATTGCTAGAACAGTCTGACTTATTCTTTGACCTGTATGATGTTTGGAGATGTGCCTTGAGATGAAAAACTGGATTAAGGTAGGGGGCAGGATATGCCATTAAACTGAGGGAGAGGATATCTAAAACACAGTGAGCTAACATTTGCCTGTGAACCTATTCCAGTGTTTGTTTCTAAAGTGATTGCCAGAATCTATCACCAATCAGTAGAGACAGAGGACAGGAACCCAACTCTCCCACCCACTAGCTCCTTCCTCCACCGCCCCCCCTCCCCACAGGCTGGAGGGGGTGTGGCTTGGCTTTTGAGCCCCTCTCCTGCACCCCTCAAGTGGACGGGACAACGTGCGTCAATGTCTTCCCTGGCTCTCTAGCGGGCACTCTCCTTGCCTCGGCTCCAACATGAGGGCGGCTCCACTATCGGTGTAGAGCCCCCCCACTCCTGCCCTGTCAGCGGTTACTGTCCGCTTTTTGGAGAGGGGAGAGGGAGGCCCTGGTGTGGCTAAGACCAAGGAGGAAGGGTCTGGGCCCATTGTTCACACCTCCAACCCCCACGGCTAGCGGTCCAGAGGCTTCCTAGGTTTCAGCCCTGCCCCTCACAGGATCACAGCCATGACAGCTGAGCTGTCCAGGAGACTTGCACCAATCGGGGGCCTGCACTTGGACACGGCCTGCAGCTGTATATAAGCAGCACTCCCCTTGCTCTTCTGATATAGCCTGAGGGCTCCCTCTAGTGTACTGACCACCCAGGCCCTGCTGAAGTGCAGACTTGCCTTGACAGTTCTGTAAACCTGCTCATGATCTATTTATTGAGTACACTTGGTCCTTTCAGAGGAGAAAGCAACAAGCTCTGAGGGTTGTTAGCACTGAAGACTCCAGAGGTCTTCAGTCAGTGAAGGTTATCGGCAGAGAACAACACCACTGGAGTTGGCCTACGGTGCCTCGCACAAGATGGCATCAGATGGTGGCAGCCGGCAGTGGCAGTGAGCCGCAGCTGGATGTGTCTAATCTGACTGGTGAGATAGAAGATTGATTATTTTTATGGTAGGATAGCTGACAAAGAGCTGCTGTTGTAATGAATTAGACTTGTATCTCATCTTGGACTATCACTGACTAGCCAGGTATTCACCAGCGGCTTAACATTGCACTGATGTCAACTTTTACTACAATGAGTCATTACAAAAACCAAAGGAAAATAGAAATGCTTTGGTGATAATATGACAAACATTGTAAATTACACTGGTTCCCTCAAAACTTCTACAGCCTTATGATGAAAATATAAGAGAAGTAAAACAAGAATCACAGGCCAAAACTTACTATGCATGACACATTTTCCTACTTATGGAAAGAGAACGTAGACTGTTGAGGATAGACTAGGCAGAGCTATATAATTTTATTCTGAAATAGACAGAAATAGCAATAGAGAATACGCTAAAACTTAAGACAAGTATGGCATTCAAAAGTCCATATCCTTCCGTATGAGTAAACAACTGTTTAATACACTTTATTTTTTGCAGTGGTTTTAAGTTTATAAAGAATTGTAGAGAAAGTGGAGTTTCCGCGTTCCTTTTCCCACATTCTCCAGTCAGTTTCTACTATTATTATCTTCTCTCTAAATGTGGTAACTTGTTATAATTAATAAAGCAATATTTATACTTATTATTCACTAAAGCCCATAGATGTTAGGCTTACTCTGTTCCACAGCTCTATAGATTCTGATAAATACTGAAAGTCATATATCTACTCTTTCAGTTTCATGCGGGATACTTTCCCTGACCTAAAAATGCTCTACGTTCTGCCTACTCCTCCCGTCTTTCCTCCCTCTGGACTCCTCCCTACCAACCACTCATCTCTTTACTGTTTCTGTAGTTTTGTCTTCTCCGGGATGTTCTCAGCTATAATCATAGCATATACAGCTTTTTCAGGCTGATTTCTTTTACTCGGCTACGTGCACAGAAGTTTTCTGTGTGTCTTGTCATAGCTTCAGAATCGTCATTTCCTTGCTTGTCCTTACATCAGGTTATTTTGCTCCTTTCTTTTTCGAGTTTTTTGAGGTAGGAGCCCAGATTGTTGATTTTTGACCTCCACTCTTTGTCAACGTATACTCTAAATATATTTTAAGCACTGCTTTAGCTGTGTCCCACAAATTTTGACATGTTGTTATTTTCATATTCATTTAGTTCAACGTATTTTTAATTTCCCTTGAGAAGTCCTTTTCACCCAGGAGTTTCTTAGAAGTGTGCTAGCAATTTTTCAAGTGTTTCAAGTGTACTGGTTGTCTATATGTTGTCGATCACTAGTTTAATTTCATTGCATCCAGACCTCTGCCTGCATCCAGTGCTTTAACCTTTGCTGAGGTTCCTTTTATGGCCCAGGATACACTATGACTTTGTCAATGTTCCGGAGGCACTTGGAAAGAATATTCATTCTGCTGCCTTTTGGTAGCATAATCTTTAAGTGTCAATTAAAGCCTATTGATTAATGGGGTTGAGTTTTATATTCCTGCTGAATTTCTGTTTGGTTATTTTATTCATTGCTCAGAGAGAGGTGCTAAAGTCTTCATGTGTAATTGTGGATTTATCTAGTTTTTCTTTCATTTCTATTGGCTGTAGCCTTACTTATTTGCAACTTAGCTGTTTGGTGCATACACATGTGGGATTGTGACATCTTCTTTGTGGATTAAAACTCTAATATTTAAAGTCTCTCTAAACACTCTTTGCTTTATTGTCTCAATAATGTTAAGTGAAATAAGTCAAGCATGCAAGCTTAAAAACTTCTTTCGAAGTTAGTGTTAGGATTTGTGCTTAGAAGTTCCCAGAGCCTCCTGCTCTCTCAGAGGAGGCTGAGTCTAGAGTGTTGCTTGATTTATGGTGGGGCTGGCTCCGAGGTCACCAGGATGAAGGGTGTGGGTGCCGCAGTCCTAAGAAGTCTGAAGAAGATAAAAGGGGCAGAATTCCCTGTTAAGGTCCCTCGCTGCTCTGCTGTCTTCCGCTGCCCTGAACTGTTATCCCTCTGCCACCCGCCTTGGGGCCAGCCCAATGTGGGCTAAAACCTCCACGAACTGCAAGCCAAATAGACCTTCCTACTTTAACTTTGGGTGTCAGGCATTTTGTCTCGGCCACGAGAGAAAAGTAACTAAGACAGTTGGGAAGTCATTATTCCTTTAAAAACACTTTTAGTACCATCCATTTTTCAATCTCCTTCTGAGACTCCAGTGAAACAAAGTTAGTATCTCTTGTTATACTCCCACTGGTTTTTCAACAGAAATAGTAATATGATGAACAACTTTACAAAAATGAAATTGTAAGTAATGGATAAATTATTCAACATGAACACTTTCCCCAAACTGACAAGTGACGTGAAATATAAGGATTCCACATGCGATCGAGATGATAACTTTA